TCTTTCTCTCTCTCTCTCTCTCTGTCTCTTTTTCACTAGAAATTCTAAAATAATTCATTCATAAATTTAGTTTGATTGAATTCTCGATCGAGTAAAGTTTGCTCCCAAACAGACACTGTCAACAGTTCATGAACCTCTCTAAGCTGATAAAAAGAAACTACCACATGAGGCCATTATATCAAACCAGTTCCAGTTAGCATGGAAGTTATTTTCAACAGACACATACATAGAGAGAGAGAGAGAGAGACAGAGAGAGTGAGACATGCGAGTAAGAACATATTTTTGCACAATTTCCATTTTATTATTGCACATAACCCAAAATGCCATTTATTTTTTCAAGTGTTTGCTGAAGTTTGCCACGCTTGCTGCTGCTGCTCCTCCTGCTGCTCCTCCTGCTGCTCCTCCTGCTGCTCCTCCTGCTGCTCCTCCTGCTGCCTTTTTAGCCAAGGCAACAAAAATAAAGAACAGAAATATATATATATAGTATAGTATAGTATGTGGGTTAAAGGAAGCAGCAGTAGCAGCAGCAGGAGCAGCAGCAACAACAATGGCAAACACTAAAATTTATGGTCATTTGGGGAATTTTACGCTTTTTCAGCTTCTGGGGGCGCCGCATTAAATGCTTACATGTTGATTTAACAGCCAAGCCAAAGCAGAACAAGGATTCGTTTTCGCTTCGACTCTAACTCCTGCACGGAATCCCTTTTTGCCTGCGCTCGACTCCTGCTGCCGCTCTTACTCCTATTTCTACTCCTGCACACACTCCTGCTCCCACTGCACCTCCTGCTCCTTCACTTTTCGCTTCTCAAATGCCACTTTGCATGCACTTTTGGCCCGGCAGCTGTTTTGTTTTAGCGCCCTGTTTCGCTTCGCTTTCTCTGCTCCTGCTGCTGCTGCTGCTGCTGCTACTGCTCCTGCTGCAAATCTTTGTTTATTTGCAGCTAAAATGCAAGGATTTATTGTAATTTTATACACCGACGGCAAATGAAGGCGAAGGCACCAAAAACTTCTCTCGCCTTGCCAAAACAAATTGTTCTTTTTCCAGAATTATGTGCGCCTTCGCCTGGCCAATTTCCAGGCGTTCGTTCATAAACATATGGCGAGCCAACGAAGCTTTTGCTTAAACCCTGTGGCCATAAAGAACAACATCTTAAAAAGGCACAAAACAAAATTCCAATATATGTATATATGTATGTATGTTTGTATGTGAAACTAGCCCAGTTTTGGAATCCTTTACTTGTTCTCAGACTTTATTTGTGCTAGATAAAATGTGAGATTTGTTGAATGGGATTTGCAGCTGTTAAACAGATTTCTCGCCTTACAACTATGCACTGAGAATCGCCGAGAAAGGCGTTTATCTGGTTTGAGGCATGGCTGTAGCTGATCTATCTGATTTTCATGCGTCTTTTGTTTTATAGCCTAAATGGTACAGCCTAGATAATACAATATACGTTCAATGAGAATCACGTAGAAGGCACTAAAATGTATGGAAGCTATTGCCGTCCCTTCATAACCGTACTCATTCACTCTTATGCAAGCTGTAAACTCATTTTGACGCCTATTGCATGTTGCGAACTAAATAAAAAGTTTTAAATAACCGAAGGGGTTTTTTGTTAAATGAAACTTTTCAAAAAAGGGTTATATGTATTATATAAATTTATAGGGGTTTAAATATATATATGTATATATGTATGTATATATAAGTATGTTATCGTACATATTCATGCTGTCAATTTTCCTTCTGTAGAATTTAAGGCGAAGTCGACTTAAAGTTGACTCAAAAATGGAATGAGAAGCACAGAGAAAGGCTCATGCCTAATGTCTTAATGTGAGGGAAAGCAATTAACACTCATGGAATACTTAGCTAGTGCAGCTTACTTGGGATATAAAAGGTCTGTTAAGAATTTACCTTTGATTACATTTATGAATAAAAATATATTCGTCATTTTTTAAGTTTCTCTATTTGAGAAAAATAATAATAAATCACATTGAACTCTGACAATTCAATGAGATTTGCTGAGAAGGGCGCTAACCAGCTGAATTCGACAGTCGTTGACTCCCCATCTCTTGCTTGCGAGTCTACATATACCTGCTGCTCCGACTCCTGCTGCTTTTGCTGTTGCTGCCTCTGTCTCTGCTCCTCCTACTCCTGCTGCTGCTGCTGCTGCTACCTCTGCTGTAGCAGCTCCTACTTCTGCTGCTGCTGGCTGTTTTCCTTTATTTCGACCCGTTTATTGTCAGTGCAAACTGGCAACATATTTGACACGACGCTGATTTAAGTTATGACCCCTTTTGGCATGTCTCCTCCTGCTACTCCTGCTACTCCTGCCACTTCTGCTGTTGGTTTGCCATATGCAAATGACGTGCTTATCAAGTAAAGTAAAAACAAAATGTGAGGTGTGTCTGTGTGTGGGTGTGCGTGCGCGTGTGTGTGTGTGATTGTTGGGAAGAAGGGCTAAAAGTGCGGCACAACAGTGCGTATGCGCAATTTTCACATTGTTTCAATACTACACATACATTAAATACTCTACACACAGTTTGCGGGTGCCACATATACATATATGTATATTATGTATGTATGTATAGACGACACACACACACACACACATACAAATGCTCTGTCTGGCTTTTGGCATGAGCTTGGGTTAGCTGCCTCAGGCCTTTGCAAGTATGCACAAGTAATGTGAGAAAATTAAATTTTTCGTGGCTCACACAAATGTGGGTGTGCGTGTGTGAGTGTGCTTGTGTGTGAGTTCTTGTGGATTATTCAGACGCTTACAATTTGGTGTTACGTCCCTCACTCCAAAAATAAAACCTGCTTAAATTCGCACGACTCTCAACTTTCTATGCTTGAAATTAAATTTTGGCATTTGTTAAGGCAGAGCTCCGGCTCCTGCTCCTGCTCCTGCTCCTGCTAAGCACATTTTGTTAATTGAATTTGCATGCAAAATGATTATCATTGAATTTGTCATTTAATTTATCAGAGCCCGATTTCCAGTTAGACAAACGACAACAAATACGCTAGCGTGAAATTGCAAGAGAGACAGAGAGAGAGGGAGAGGGAGAGAGGGAGAGTGTGCCTACCGAGCGAAGCTAAGTAAATCCCATGGGATAAGCATCGACTGCGACGTATGAAACAGCTCTGATTGCTTGTGTCACAGCCGAAAGCTAATTAGAGATAATGAAACCTTCCCGCCGACTTAAAGCCCAAAAGTGTTTGCATGTGTGTGTCGCTGTAATTAGAAAGTTAAATCTAAATGAAATCAACTTGAATATGTGAGTGCATGCAGTTGGCTGTTTAGCTTATCAAGCTGCAGGTGCTTGCAGCTGACTCCTTGCTAATTGTAAGAGTCAAAGGAATTGTAAAGGCAGGAGCAGAGATTGCCATTGCCTTTGCCTTTGTAAAGGCAGTAGAACTTTGAGAAGAGCTGCGACTCCTGCGAGAGAAGAAACTTTTCATATGAGCTGCTCATTAATTTTGGGCAACTCAATCGCATTTTAAATACTTTTTTAATAAATTTGTTAGCTCAAACATCAAATTGGCTGGGCTTTGCTTTCAGCCAGTGCCAATCAAATGCAGACTTGGTTAATTGAACTGCATACATATACATGCATATAAATAAATACACACACACACACACACACACACACACACACACACACACACATATATAAAACAGCTCATTGAGCACAGAATGCAACATTTTAAACGCAAAGCAATCAAAGTCAATCAATTGGCTATAGCCAAATGACCTGAACAATGTTTGCTGTCACAAAAGCCGCAAAAATTCTTGATAGCCGAGTGATTGCTCAAAGCCAACTAACTCAAATTTCAAATCAATCTATGTGTGCGTGTGTGTGTGTGTGTGTGTGCACATTCAAGCAGCTTGGAGT